ACACACATACAGTATATATTTTGAAAATATTTACATGTCTATATTGATATTCATATAATTTATATTAGAAATAAATATATTTAATATATAAACAAAATTTTTCTGAATTATATACGTGCATGTGTGTGTATTTATATATACATAATAAATATACACAGCACACATACATTTATGTAAACAAAAATGCTTATTTTGAATGCGATTAATCGTTTGACAGCACTAATATCTAGATATAGATTTTCATGTGCAGAATAAGTATTTTGATCATTATATCTTTTGTTGTGGTCCACAGGGTCACCAAAGAGGTGGACTCAGACTCACGAGAGGCCAAGAGTTTTCTGAAGGAGGAGGAGAAGGTACTGAAGGAGAAAGAAGAGTCCTCTGAGCCACAGCCATCCGTACCGCTCTCCTCTGGATCCAGGTACCACCCCAGTGCATCCCTTTAGTCCTGCGTTTTGTTGTTCTGATCCTTCTCAGTACATGCGAAATTTCAGTTTACAACCATTGTGTCAGTTAATTAATGAAACAAAGTGGTTTTTAATGGTTCTGTTTTGTGTTTCAGTGACGCAGAAGTGACTAACTCATTAGCGCTTAGACTATAATTAATTCTTTGTTATAGATGTTGTTATATTACAGTAATTAGATGTGATCTCCTTCAGTGGGGTTGGTGCTGGTAAATGGATGGAGACGTCTGTGTGTGTTTGCCGTGCAGGGCTAGAGGGAATGTCAGACGTGTCATTGATCTCTGACAGCTATGATAGCGAGTCTTTGATCCTCTATAATTCCATATCTGCCTGTAGGGAAAACCAGCGATGACACACAAATATGTTTCAGCCGCAGTGTGCACAGATGTGTGTATACGGGTTGAATTTCCTCTACTGAACCAATCAAAAATGGCCCTTGTAGTCCAGACAGGACATCTGTGGAGTTTGTGTATGTTTAAGAGTTAATCATTGTTGTGATCTTCACCACTCCTTACATAGGGTTATTTTGGACAGACGCTCTCATCTGTCCTCTGAGACCCTGAATGTTTGCTGAACAGGAAGTCATATTTTTCCCTGCACAGGATGTACAGTATGGGGCGTTGGCTTGCGGAGCAGGAAAGCAGCTTGAACCCCACCTCTCTCATCCCTTTATCATCCAAACGACTGTCACTTAATGTCCACACTACAAATGTCCTATATTCACCCGGCCTCTGTCTGTATCTGGTTTTGATTTTGATGGCTTCTAAGTGCTTGCATATAATTTTTCAGTCAATGTGACTTTAAATCAGGCCTCTTCAAATTCCAATGGCTGTCTTGCTCCAGCACAGCAGGGTTCCCGCTTAAACTAGGCACTGAAGGAGTCTAAACACAAAGGGTACCTGTATCCAGTATTCACTCGCTTCCCTTCTCTTCCTTTAAGCCTCTTTTGTGTGATTTGAGGTTAGAGGGCTTGAGTCAGCAGCACTGTGGCGCTCTCTCTCACACACAGGCTCAGTGGCTCACTGGCTCTCTGTTTCTCTTCTTAACATTGTCATACTGCGCCTCAATGCAGAACTGCTGATGATGATAATACACGCTTCTTCCTTCCATGGCATTTTTGTACCTTTTCCTTGCGCACAGATCTTACTTTGTAACTCTGGTTGCTGTAATTATGGAAAATGGTAACCCTTTACAGTAAAGATTAACATTATTTAACATTTTACATATCATACATATTGTAAAAAAACAACTTTTTTTACATTTATTTTTCTAGGTTACCTATAATTTATAAACATGATAAATATGATTCTTTGTTCATTTGTTTGCTTATAATACGTTAATGTTAAATTGTGCATATTGTTAAGTGGTAAAAATATATTATTAATATACACTATTGTTCAAAAGTTTAGGGTAAGATATTTTGTTTTTATAAGAAATGAATACTTTTTGTTTAGCAAGGACTAAATAAAATCGATCAAATGTGAAAGGAGATACTTCTACATTGTTACAAAATAAATATATCTCAAATTTTGTTACTTTGAGCTTCCTGAAAAAAAAACCCAGATCAAGTTAAAAAAAAAATATTGTTCAATATATGTGTTCAACTTTGATAATAATAAGAAATGTTTTTTTTTTTTAGCATAGAATAATTCGTAAAGGATCATTTGACACTGAAGACTGAAAATTCAGCTTTGTCATAGCAGGAGTAAATTACATTTTAAATGTTGTAAAATAGAAAACAGTTATTTAACATTGTAACAATATTTCACCACATTACTGTTTTTACTGATCAAATAAATGCAGCCTTGGTGAAACTTCTTTATAAAACATTTAAAAAATCTTAACCAGCCAAGCCTTTGAACAATAGCGTATTTAGAAATAAACATTAATTATTGCTGTTGAAGTATTGTTCATTGGTAGTTCATAATATCTAATGCACTACTGTCTGAACTACTGTCAATTAACTGATTGGGTTACACTTTATTTCGATAGTCCACTTTAGACATTTTATTAACTATAAGTAACTTTGTAACTACATGTCAACTACATGTCAACTAATTCTCATTAATTTGCAACTACATGTCTACTAACTCTCAGAGTAGACTGTTAGGGTAGGTTTAGGGTTAGTAGAATAAGTTGACAAAGAAAGTGTTAGAAGATATTAAGCAGACAGTCTACTAATACTCTACTAACTGCTAGTTGACATGTAGTTGCAAAGTTAAATAGAATGTATAGAATGTCTAAAGTGGACTATCGAAATAAAGTGTTACCACTGACTGTTTTTGTAATGTAAAAAAAAAAAAAAAAAGAACTAACTGAAACTGACAACTATTTTGATTTAACTATGTTGATACTTGTTGATACTAACTGATTATACTGATTTTTGTTTGATAAATTTGATAAAAGGCCAAATCTAATGCTCAGTATTGATTAATTGGATAAAGAAGCCAAATTTAATGCTCAGGATTTTATTAAAAACTATTTTTTTCTATACAATGAGCTTCGTTGATAAAACATACAAGAAGTAATTTGTGTAAATAATTTGTAAAACCGTTCTTGCGTAAATTGAAGTATGATGGAATTATGAACAAATCGTTCTGTTTCTGTTTCCTGAATAAGGCCCAGTGGTTCCCAGAAAAGTTGAAAATGTTACAATATAAGCATGCAGAGCCAGTAATTTTGTCAGCAATTCACATTATTGAAACAATGTTAAACAGCTCTTCAGTTTCTTTCTCCCGCCACACACACAGACTCACCTCGACCCTCCATCTGTTGATTCTTCCCAGCAGCCCACTGGTGTGTGAACAGGGATCAAAATGAACACTCGCCAAGTGCCAAAATGCAAGTAAAAAAATTTGATTTGGCAAGTAAATGGAATGTATTTCCTCACCAGTTGGCTGGTAACTTTATTAGGAACGGCAACATTGCTAGATTTAATTGAACTGTATAATGCTAGTCTAACCTTTTTTCCTCAGTGAGATAGGTACCGTTATAGTTTATTTGGGATACCTGTTTTTTTTGCAGCAACAGTAAAATGGAAAATGCTGTATAGTTTCAGAACAAACTGTAAGAAATATTTAAGACCTGTACGTTTGCTTGGCAGGTGAAGTGGCAAAAGTTAATTTTGGACACACTGTGAGTTTGCATGAACGTGTGAATGATAACCTTTAGGACATGCCAGTTGTGAGCACCATTTGTGTGGACACCATAGACTGATGTAACCTCACTGCTAGAGGTTCAAGTGTGGAGCAGCATTGTGTAATTATGTGTCGTCTAAGTGCTATCGATCATAGAACCAGCCAGATTTACTGATGCTTGTTCTGAGCCCCAGTGATGGCTTGATTGATTGTCTAGTGTCTCTGTGGTCTTATCACAGAACTTGACTGACGTTGAGGCTGAGCTCCATGTAAGCACCCAGAAGCACACAAACAAATCTGTACTTTAAGGACAATGGTGGCTTCATCAAAGCTTACATATTCACATACATATATAAGTGCTGGTTGCACAACACACACTCACACGGAGTCAGAGAGAAGTATGCCCTCTGTCTTCCGGTTTCTGTTCCGCTTGGCTTCCCGTCAGCTTGCTGTACGTGAGTGTGAGTAACACAACATACAGCGGTTCTGGGAAACCTTTGTGTATGTCCACTTAAACTAATGATTTCCACATGCGCCAGTCACAGCTCTGCTTTTCTAATTATAGAGCCTCATCTCTAGGACCCTAAAAATAGGGCCTTGCTCTCCATTATTACAGAACAGTCACACACCTCGCTCTTCGTCGGGTCAAGCAGTTCATCTACTGTAAAAGAGACTGTACACTGTGTGTGTGTGTGTGTGTGTGTGAATGTGGATGAACAGATTTTGTTACAAATATATACATATTTATATACATACTTGACACAAACAAAGCAAGAGAGGAGAGTGCCATTGAATGTGTAGCTAATATGAAGTGGGTTTTCATGAAAAAAAACAAAAAAAAACTAACTAAAATCAGAACTGAAAACAAACACTGGATAAAAAAAAAAAACTCCCAATAAATGTCCAAACAGCGATGCTATCAGAACATTTATTTTGAACCTATCTTGCATCATTTACATCTATTTTTGCAGTTGATGTATGATTTGATTTGATAGGAATTGTTACTTATTATTATCATCATACCAACTGAAAATTTATTGCAATGATATTAAATTCAGTTGAGGTATCTGACATGATGACATAACATTATGCTCTTTTATATGAAGTCTTTAGAGCCATAGACTATAATGTTGTTATTGATAAATTGCTCCGAGACCAACCAGGACAGAGGTTATATGTACAAATCATCCAAGCGCCCAATTCCTAGTCATTTCTAATATAGGCTACATTTAATTAACTTTGCTAAATATTATTAAACTGGAAAGAAATTAAAGATCCATCTTTGATTGTCAAAAGAATTCCGGGTTCACTTCCCTCCCAGCCAGTTAGATTTCACGCATTTTCATCGGTCAGTTGTGGAGGTCTGATTGGTTAAAGCTTTATTTATATAGCACCTTTTAAAACAGTGTTTACAAAGTACTTTACAGAGAGATGTATATGTGCATTCACAGAAAAGAACAAAATACAAACATAAAAGAGATAAAGTGGGCCTAGTAAAACAAAGTACAATAACCAGTTTATGTATAGTTTAAATACAATAAAAAAATAAAGGAAAGGCCCTGAACAAATCTGTTTTGAGACTACTTTTTAAAAGTGCATAAAAACTTTTGACAACATTTAATTCAGGTGTGAAAATAATTAATATCTGCATGAGCATAGAGAGATTTGCGAGGAGAGACACGTTTTAAGTGCGCGCACTCTCATTGCTAAATATTATTAAACTGGAAAGAAATTAAAGATCCATCTTTGATTGTCAAAAGAATTCCGGGTTCACTTCCCTCCCAGCCAGTTAGATTTCACGCATTTTCATCGGTCAGTTG